TACAAGGGGAGCCCGACTCCGCAGGGGGAAGGACCCAATCCTGGGGGCAGCCGTGGGTCATTCTGGGGTATCGGGGCGGGAGGGGGGAACGACGCGAGTGTCTACCACGTCGCGGGGCTTCCAAGGCAAGCGGAGGTCTATCGAAGAGGGGGGCCCACTTGCGTTCCCCACCCTCCCGCGTGAGTTCCCCTGGCCAAGCGGGGATTTGAACCCAGGGCTTCTCCCTGAGCCTCCACCCTCCCTCGGCCTGGCGGTGACACACACACACACACACACAAAGAGAGAGAGAGACCACACACAGACGTAGGTTTTTTTTTTTAATTTTTTAAATTGCTGGCGAAAAGGTTCCTTAGCTTACACACATACACACACACAGAGAGACCACACACAGACGTAGAGGTTTTTTTTTATTTTTTTAAATTGCTGGCGAAAAGGTTCCTTCCGTCTCTCCCGCCCTGCGGATGATGGAGGAGATGGTGGTGGTGGTTGTGGGGAATGGCCAGAGCCGGCCTTCTGTCTTCGCCAGATGTTTCTCCACATGGTCAGGCTCCTGAAAAGATAAAAATAATGAAAATATTGTTAACATCATTTAAAAAGAAATAAAACAAAATAATAACTGAAAACTAACCCTGAGCCTTACCTACCTATTCAGTCCTCCTTGGTTTTAGGGACCTGCAGGCAGCACACGAGGCAGTAGACCTTGCGGGCTCCCTGAAATATCTGTATAAAGATGTTTCCTAGTCTTCGCCCATGGCGGCGGCGGTTGTGCCAGATCCTCAGCTACCCGCCCACCATTTTTTTTTTACTCTGGACCGGGTGGGTGAGTGAACACAATGGTGTGGTGTTCAGGGAAAGAACGAAAAAATTTCTCTTAGCTCTCCCCTTTTAAAAATGGACCTATTATTACATTACACCTTATTTCTTGTTTTCTAGTCTTCGCCCATGGCGGCGGCGGCTGTGCTAGATCCTCAGCTACCCGCCCACCATTTTTTTTTTACTCTGGACCGGGTGGGTGAGTGAACACAATGGTGTGGTGTTCAGGGAAAGAACGAAAAAATTTCTCTTAGCTCTCCCCTTTTAAAAATGGACCTATTATTACATTACACCTTATTTCACAAGGTGAGAGATCACGCCGGGTGGGCAAGGATCTCTTTCAGCCTCGTCCCTTTCCCTAAATCCTCCAGAGTTTCTGTTTCGAATTCTGTTTAATTTCAGTTATATAAGCAGAGGGCGGGAAGAAAAGGGAGGGAAAAAAACCCAAACCCCTCATTTGCTGCCTTCACGCATGCTCAGTTTCCCACTTTCCCCCCTCCTCCCTCCCCAATGGGATGGGGCGGAGCCTAGAGAGCGCCTAACTCCGCGCGCGCTCCCGGTGGCTAAAGTCCCGGGAATTTCCCAGCGGGGAGCCCTCCAAGTGGGATCGCCTTGCAGAGGGGTGTGTGCGCGCGCGCAGGTAAGCGTATTTGTGCAAACGACGCGGACCCCAACTTCTTTGCAGACTTTTGGACACTTCTGTTTGCCGCCTGGGTTGCAAAATAAAATAAAATTAAAAAAAAAAATCTTTGCCAGACCCATTTTCTCGCAGAGCTAAGTCGCAAACCGAAGAATGGTTTTACGTTGCTTGTTTGCTTTTTTTTTTGGTACGGTGAATGATCCGGAGCGGAAGGTTTATCTGCGGCAAAGTCGCTGTGCTATTCACCTGGCGCAAGTTCGCATTTTTAATTTTGTGCCCATTTCTGATCATCCCATTTTATATTCTTTTATTTGTAGGAAGTTATGGTAGAGTTGGAAACAGTGCGACCCCACAATACGCCAGGGTAAAGTTCGATTTGAGTTTTGCAATGTTTCGTAGATGTAGAGTCCCGGGTTAGGAAATGGGGTTAGGGACCTCTTTCCAGTGAGGAATGTTATGTACTCTGTGTATTTATTTTCTTAAAATTAAACAAAAAAGACTGGGAACACATAGTCGAAGTTTATAAAATTGCATAATTTTAATACTAATTGGTCGAGGTTTCCAGAGAGGGAAGGATCTTGGCGTGTTTCACCAGCCGCAAAAACGAAGCTGGAAGTATTTTGCTATCTGTAAGAGCGTGAGTCTTTGTGGATTAGAGTCCCCCTTCGTTGTGTTTGGGAAAAGTGGGGCTGTAATCTGCAGAAGAAATAAATTGTGTTGCTCCACAGCCTGTCAGATTTTGATTTGATTTTTGTGCTTGGCAGTAGATGCAGGACAGATGAAAAGCATTTGCTAACACAGCTGAGAATTCATTGCCAAAAGATGGGGTGAAACCCATTACCTTGGCTAGCCTTAAAAACAACAAAAGTTAGAGTAGCTTTAACTTAAAAGAAGTTAAGAGTTTGGGATTGGTTAGTCACTTCTGAGTTTTCAAATCCTGGACCATACATAGTAATTGACTTGATGACAAAGTGCTGTTTTTTTTAAATTTGGAGAATAGGTGTGATAGATAAATGGACCCTCCATGAACAAGAGCAGTATTCTTTTCCCCAGGAAGGCAAAAGTAAGGACAGGTTGGTGCCTTTTGTGCCAAGATGATGGGGGCTTCCCTTGAAATGGGGACTAATATGCCAAAACTCTTAGATTTATTTTGCCTTCTAAAAATCACTGACATCCTTACCTTCTCCTGTTCCTTTTGGTAACATTTATTTTAGTTTTGCAGAATGCTTGTAATCAAGCTTTAAAAAACGGCAAACGGTAATACTGTATAAGGCTGCTCATTAGGAACTGCTTGCAGAGTGATGTGTCCTGGCATGTCTCCTCAGCAATGTTATTAGTCATTCTGATGATCCAGGCTTTGAGAACAGTTTCGATTCCCCCCTCGCTTGTTTTAGCACATCCAAGGCCAGTAGAGGAAGGCTGTTCTCACCGGAATCCCTAGTATCTAATTAATTAATTAATTTTTGGCCAAGTTTCCTCAAATCTTAAGGACACTTATTGGGAAGAGGGAGGCAATACTAGCAAATAAATGAATTTGGCCAGAATCCTATCCACTAGGCCTCCCTGCCCCGGCTGGGCATTGTGAAGTTTTTAAAAAGGTCTAATACCCCCTAGGTGAGAATTTTAAGAGCCAAACTGGATCCATCTTAGAGGTGCCTGGAATGCTGATGGCTGTGGATGATTGATGCTAGCTAGCTCAGAATGCTGACGGTTCTCAGGAGAAAGCTATCTGGGTTATCAAAAGAGCTGGGGAGTGAACCCAAGGTCACTTTGAACTATCTGAGATGATGGGAGCTGGAACTTGGTTCAGCTGCATGCAGCTTAGTAAAAGTGGCTGTGTGCAAAACAGCTTGGTTCTGGAACGTTCTGTGGAGGCTCCCAGGGATTGTGCTGATGGGTGTCCTCTAAGTATGGGGCTAAAAAGTGTAGGACTTAGGGCAAAGGAAAACTGTATGCTTTGAGATTTCAGTTCTACATTATGATACTGGAGAACTGTGTGACCTCAGAAATCTGTCTGAGATTGAATCTTCCCAAATGTATGTATTTGTGTGTGTGTGTGTGAGAGAGAGAGAGACAAAATTACAGCTGCAGGCACTTGGAAACTTAATTAGCAAGTACTGTATTTCTTCTGCTTTGTGGGTCTGAGACATGAATATGGACAATAGCAAGGATGGGGCTGCAAATTCCAAAGTTTTTGTCATCATTTTAAGATGGGAAAAGGAAAAAATACTGTTCAGTCCATTGAACAGTACCATTTCCTGCATCACCAAACAAAATTCTGTTTTTCCACCTTCACTAACATTTTGTTATGTCGTGTCAAGTCAGAACTGACTTAAAGGGACCGTAACGTGGCTTTCAAGTTATCAGTTCCACACCCCCAGTGAGATTCCGTGGTAGGGATTCGAACCCAGGCCTCCTGAGCCATCACTCCATCCACTATGCCATGCTGAGAATCTTCAGTAACTGGGGATGATGCCAATAATTCCTGCCTTGGTGCTCAGTTCACTTCTGAGCACAACTAGAAGGCATGGCACTGAACAGGGGTGGGGAATTTTCGCTCCAATATTTCCAACTGTAATCCCTGCAATCCTTATTATTGGCGATGTTAGGTGTGACTTAATGAATTGTGGCTGAAATACATGAAAGCCAGAGATTCCCCCAACAATCTGGTAAATGTTGGGGGCAAGGAGATCTATCAGATGACTTCTGTATTTTCAGATGCTAGTGGCTGGTCCTTTCTGTAGTATGTTGATGTGGACACGTTTACATTGTTTGTACTAATACTTGCCCAGCATTTTGAAACTTTCCAGAGTTTAGAAGCCATGATGTTTTCATAAATCTCTGGGCAGAATCCTGTTGTGGGTTTGCAGTAGGCATAATTATGATAGCATAAATTGTGGTGGTGAGTTGAAAATGGTGGAGACTTTTTCCTTTAAAAAAAATCTGCTAGAAGGGATATTAAGATGTGAATTACGTATCAATGCCAGCAGGGAAATCAAAACATACACATTTGTCAGTATAGAAGCTCTAAGTTCCGAACGTGTAGGACAGCTTTTATAGATGGTTCTAAAAAGCACTATAGAATAAGTAATTAAAGCTAGTAATCCTTCCAAGTTTTCTTTCTCACATAGTTTTCTTTGAAGAGCCTTACCGGATGTTTCTCCAATTATAACATTTCCTTTTGCATCTGTCCTAATTAGTATGACAGATAGCGTATATCTGTGTCCTTAGCTTGTTTATTGAAAGGATAGGATGTCTGTGCTAATTGTTTTATGAGGCTTCTTTGTTGCTGCAAATGCCTGTGTGTTGTCACAGCTTTTTAAGGAATGGCTTTTTTCGCATAATTAGCTAGCTATGCTGTGCAGGTAAGAAAGTACCTTGGTGGTTTTAATATATTTATATACTGTAATTGTTAAATTCCAACGCATGTAGTGACATCTCAGAAGTTATAACGAAGTGGAATCTTCTCACAATTGACAAGCTACTGCTCACATTCCTGGTCACGGGCAAATTGTGTGACTGGTACACAACCAGGAATGGGAGCAGCACCTTATCTAGGAGTAGTTTTCTGCCAAAGTTTACACAGTTATATCAGCATAAATCTGGAATGGAATTCTGACACTGAAATTTACTAGTAGAGATTATTTGTTACTACTTTTTAAAAATAAAAACAGATGTTCAGAAAACTTAATTCTGAACCAAATACCACTTGGTTCAGAATTAAAGATCTTGTGTCTTTTAAAGCTTGCATAGAATTAATTATGTACAGGAATGGGTGTTTCCATTTGTATGTGCATGTGCCCCCCCCAAACTTGACCAACCCTCAGTGAGCATCTGTGTCCTCTGCTCATCCCAGTCCCTTACAGAGCTGACTGAAGCTGTTTGAATTTTGAAAAGATCATATTCTTTCCTAGTTTCGGCCACCTTTGTATACTCATTGCTTTTAGTTTTAAATACTGTCTTTTAATGGTGTAAGCCATCTTGGGTCCTTTTTCCAGCAGAAAGGCAGGGTAAAAATATTTTAAATAAATAAAAAGAACAGTGGTGGCTTTATTCTCTTTTGTGTAGTTATACATTTTTTCATCCTTGGTTATTTTCCTGCCCTGGGGGAATGATTTGAAGGGAGAAAATAGGCTTTGGTGTAAATATATGTATACATTTATTAAATCTGTGTCAGGATGAAGCAAATCTCTCTGCATCTCTGTCCTAAACACTATAGCACGTATAGGATTTTGGGGGGATTTAAGCCATGGGAATGGTTGATGGTGGTCGGATTCAAAAAGATCTCCTGTATGGAGAATGAGTGCAGGGATATGGCCTCAGAGGGAGACCACACCTGCGATACAAGGAGATCTGCAAGCGGGATCTGAAGGCCTTAGGAATGGCCCTCCACAGATGGGAAACCTTGACATTTGAGCGTTCAGCCTGGAGGCTGGTGGTGCATCACAGCCTCTCCCAATTTGAAGAGGCCCTTGTCCAGCAGGCCAAGGCTAAGAGGCCGTCCCGAAAGCAGCCAAATCAGGGAGCTGGACAGGGGACAGATTGTATTTGTCCTCTGGGAGGAAGGGATGGTTACTCTCGAATTGGCCTTCTCAGCCACACTAGACGCTGTTCCAAGTCCTCTGTTCAGAGCACTAGGATAATCTCTCGAGACTGAAGGATGCCTAATCTAAAGCCGCAAAAGAGACTTTGACTAAGAAAAGAAGAATGGATATCATCTCTCCAGTTTGGGTGGAAAAAAAAGCAGCCATTTTATTTCTGTATTAACTTTTGTGCATTTATGTCCACTTCCTCAGATGCCTAGGGCATGCCTGTCCGTCATATGGAGCTCCAGGGCAAGAGCCTATGGCAGGACAGGAGGGGCGGAGTCAAGGAGGACAGTTGGAGACTGAGGGGAGTTAGAGAGAAGTAGTTTTGGAAGTGTTAAGACAGAGATTGGAAAGCTGGTGTGTGTTAGAGAATAGATAAAAGTAATAGAAAATAGATAGTCATAAAATAGTGTTACAGTGGTTAATGTGAATGAATACAAACAAGCAAACGTGTAATCCTATCCTAGTTTAATTACTGAACAATAAAAGAACATGTATGACTTTACTTCTGTGATTTACCCATCAAACAATAAATAAACCTGTTATATTTGGCAGCCCGGGTCTAAGAAACATATTTGGTACAGTGTGGATAAAGATCCACTGGTGGCAACGTGTAAAAGGAGAAAATAGTACATCGTGTCTGAAGGTGGACCTGTGGCTGAGGGAAAACAAACGGGGCACTGGGGGAACGCGACAATGGCCTATATAATTTATCCATAGCCCCCTGACCAGCTGAAGATATGGATAAATAAAGTGAAAATGTCTTCTTAACAGCAATGGCCGTGTCAAGTCACTCACTCCCTGAGATGACAAAAATCGCCATTTTAGTTTGTCAGTGTAAGACTCCCAGCCAAGGCCAGGAAGCTTATGTAGGAGTGCCGTCACTCCGATCTCAATCTAAGGAGACCCAGACTTCTCCCCCACCTTCTCCACCTAGAAGGGAAAACAAGGAGAATTGGAAGAATTAAGAAAAGGACAGGGTCAGAAGCATCAAGGGGTAGACACCCGGGATTTGGTACAGGAAATGAAGAGGTTAAGCATGTCGGCATCTGCTGGTGGAGATTTGGCGGGAAGAGGGAGAGCTTCTATAGAGGCGGGGGGGGAGGAGATATAAAGGCTAGGCGGGAAGACATCCTGGGCGGTTGGGAGATGATATGGATCCAGGATCCCTGGACAGGGAAGTGGGAGCAGGTTAAGGTACCCCACGAGGAGGCTGAAAGGCGTCGGCGACAAGGCTTACAACCTCGCCCTTCTTATTGGGGAGAAACTGAGGCGAAGGAGTGCCGTTGGCGTCTAAGAGAGGAGCGAGAAGCGGTGGCGAGAGAACTTGAGACCAAGAAAGCATGGCATCTCGCCGAGCTCCAGAAGATGGGGGTCTACCCGGGCTGTGGCTGGCCAGTCCGGGAGAGGGTTCCCCATTCTGGGGGTGGAGCGGAGATGAAGAGACCCTACAGCTTCTAGCTACCGAAAGAGAAGAAAGTGAGGCCCTGGTCTCAGAGAAGATATTATCTGGACCATGGAACTTTGACGAAACGAAGCCTTTTATTACTAACGTTTGGACAGCCTTGCAGTCGAAGTTTAGACGGCAAGAGACTTTGAACCCAGTTCAGAAAGAGGTTGATGTTAATGTTGGACTGTTAATAAATGAGGACAATGTTGAAGAGTTAAACCCGTCTCAATCTTTATTGGGCGTGACAGAAGCCCCTCATATCGAACCCTCACAGTCAGTTTAGAGAAGAATGAAGAAACTTGGGCTCTCCAGATTTATTTTTTTTTTTACATGTCAGCCTTCAGACCCCATGACCCAGTGGTTCCCAAAATGGGGCCTCCAGATGTTCTTGGACTTCAGCTCCCAGAAATCCTGGCCAGCAGTGGTGGTGGTGAAGGCTTCTGGGATTTGTAGTCCAAGAACATCTGGAGGTCCAAGGTTGGGGAACACTGCCAGCGTGACCAACATAGCTAGCAGTGAGGAATGATGGGTGTTGGGTCTTCAACACGGGGGGGGCCAAAGTTTTCCTACCCCTCGTTTAAAGAGATTTTATTGATTTTTGTTGTATGTTTGCTAAAGGAGCTGGTTTGTGTTGTGTGTTTGCTAAAGGAGCCAGCCAGGGCAGGACTGGGTTATGTTTTGAGATGGTTTTTGTGGAGGTCAGGGGTTTTATTAAGAGTATTTTTGTTTGTTACAGGAGAAAAGAAAACACTTGAATGGAACTGAAGTAAAGGTTTGTGGCCCAAGACAGAATTTGCAGAGATCTTTCTTGTAAACAGTAAGTTGATTTGATTTGCCAATATGCTCCCCTTTTTTCTTCCACACACACCCCCAATTCATCCTTTTGCCATGTTGGCCTCTCTTCCCTCCCTAGTCCTAGTACAAAAGTTCAGCATCGCTTTGTTTTCTTGCCCCTTCAGGGGGTGCTTTGAGTTCCCTAGAGTACTGATTACCTAATGAAGGGACAGCTTTTCTCTCTTTTGTTACCAGGGTTTTAGGTGGTGCCCGATTGTCTGCTGGAGGCAGGATTTGGAAAGCCTGCCATCTCAGGGAAGAATAGCTCCAGAAAGGTCTCATCCTGGTCGTTACAGCCTCACATCATGAGCACCTGCCCTAGTTTTGTTTTAAATGATGGGACCATTAAGATGCAGGCTTTGGGTTGATGAGCTTAAATTCCAAAAGCTGAAAGACATGCAAGATTAACAGAAGAATCCTATGTTTTAAGAGTAACAACTAGGCTGTAATAGGAATCTTATGGGGACTCCTCATGAAAGCATTGGCTGTAACAAATATAAAAATTCTCAGAAGGGTCTTCTTGGCAGTGGGGAACATAAGGATCCTGCAGTGGAATTCCCCAGGTTTGGTTTAACCATCTCCCACTTATAGTTACTGAGCCACATTTGGGGGGGGATTTCCATTTAAACAAGTTAGTGGATTCTCCTTTGCACACAATGTGGAGAATAGAGCATTATTGTAGATAACCTGGAGGATACAAACAGCAGTCTAGCCAGCATAGAAGAGAAAAATAGAGACGATCTAAACTGTTTCTCGTTAGCTATCAGGAAAAAAAGACCATTTAAAATTTCCAGAGTTCTAAATTTTATTTACTAAATAAGTATGTGTATTTGTTGGAGGGTGTAACAAAAGGTAAGGAGGAGGTGGGGAGCAGAGCTGCTCCAAATCTTCTTCATCCCCAGGTGAACCTTATTGTCATGCATTAGGGTTGTTGATCTCCTGGAGTCAGAGGTCGTAGCCTTGGGACCTATTATATACTCTAGAACAGTGGCCCCCAACCTTGGGCCTCCAGATGTTCTTGGACTACAACTCCCAAAAACCTTCTGTCTGCGAAGCAACCAACATGAACCTGACACAACTCCGGGAGGCAGTAGAGGACAGGAGGGCCTGGCGTGCTCTGGTCCATGGGGTCACGAAGAGTCGGACACGACTAAACGACTAAACACACGCTTTAGAAGGCATCTTCCCAAAGAACTAGGACTCTCAGGAAGCAGAGTGGCAGATTTTTTCCTCCCCCCCCCCTTAAAATTAACAGTAAGTAAAAGCCTGAGTATCCAGTAAAACCTTAATGGTAGGCTCTTCTCTGGAGGAGCAAAATCTAGGGTGTGTGTGTCTATGTCATCCAGTAAAACCTTAGTGGTAGGCTCTTCTCTGGAAGAGCAAAATCTAGGGTGTGTGTGTCTATGTTCTAGAACCCTAGAATTCTGTCTGGGAAATGTTTGGAGACCAAAAAAACCCACAAGGACTTTCCTAACACATTTCAGTAGGGCAGTGGAACCGATGACCTCGAGAGGTAGTGAGTGATCCCACACCGGAGGCTATTCAAGGGAAATTTAGACCACCCCTTGGCAGACCTCCTTTGATTTGGATTCCTTCCTTGAACGGGGTGGTGGTGGTTGGACTCAGTGGCCTTAGAGGCCCCTTGGTGGTGGTTGGATTCAGTGGCCTTAGAGGCCTCTTCAAACTTCATGATTACATCAGGCTGTGATACATAGGCACAGAAAACAATTGGGTCTCTTTTTAAACTCTTGGTATCTTCTCCCTCCTTCCTGTGTCCACAGAACGAGAGTACCTTAAACCTAAACCATGGGCAGGCCTAGAAAATATTCTGACAATGTTGCGTCACCTCGGCCTGCTGCCACAGCTCCGAAAGCAGCCTCCGCGGTTGCCCAGTCTTCGGTTTCCTCCAGAACCGCCTCTGCAAAGACCAGAGCGCCAAGTGCCCCAGCTTCTAAGAGTGAAAACAGCAGACGAGGGGAAGGAGAAAAGCCGGCCTATGTCCCAAGTCCCAGAGCATCAGCACAAAGCTCTCAGACGAGGTCTGCCGCAGGGCACGGTGGTAAGCAAGGAGACACAAGCCGCGGAGCAAAAGCCAAGACCTCTGCAGCTGCTGGAGACTTCAAATCCCCTGCTTCTGGTCCTAAAGCCACCACAGGGACCTCTGAGAGTCCGCGGCAGTCTGCGGCCAAGCCCCAAAGCAAAGGCACCCATTTTGTTTCGCCCATCTCCACGGAAAAGGTGGCCGAAATCGAGAGGGAGACGCGGGGTCAGCGGGCTAACCCCGAGTGGTACAAATGGCGAGAAAACCGCATTACGGCTTCCGTGGCTCCCAAAATCGCCAACAGCAAGTTTGCGAACGGCCGGAGCTCCGAAGTGCCTCGGTCGTACCTGAAGGCCGTGGTGGAGCCTGGCTCCTCTGTGCAGACGCCGGCCATGTCTTGGGGGGTCAGGAATGAGAAGAAAGCGATCCGGGCCTACGAAGCGCTCAAGTCCAGCAAGGGGGAGAAGCCGGTGAAGGTTGACGATTGTGGGCTCTTCATTGATAAAAAGAAAGCCTGGCTTGCTGCGAGCCCTGACGGGGTTGTCCGAGAAGCCGGTACGGGCAAGGACCTGGGGCTGTTGGAGGTCAAGTGTCCCTATAAGCACAGAGAGAAGACGGTGACAGAAGCTTGCAAGGACAAGACGTTCTGCTTGGAGAAGACGGGGGATTCCTACGCCTTGAAGAAAACACACCCCTATTATGTCCAGGTTCAGTGCCAGATGGGAGTCAGCGGCCATAAAAAAGCTGACTTAGTGGTTTTCACCAATAAAGAAACAGCCATTGCTCCGGTAGATTTTGATCCAGCTTTCTGGGAGAAAACTGTTCCCAAACTGGAGAAGTTTTACACCGATGCTGTTGTCCCTCATCTGGAGGAGAAAGAAAGCGCTGCCGCCTGGGCTAGAGAAGAATAAAGCTGTGAAAAGTTACTTTTTTTTGGATTTGGGATCCCAGAATCCTCCAAACCATGGCTTAGGTGGAGCAAAGTTGCAAGGACTTAAAATCCAAGTTCTGAGAAATCCTTATGCTGTGCCTTCTGTCTGAAGTGTATTCTTGTTTCTTACCCGTTTCTTGCCAACCAGCACAAAATGACCGATTGCCCTTCCGTGCCTTAACATGCCTTTGCAAATATTCATTGAGCTAACCCAGCATTGCCTGCCGTCAGCTTGGCAGCCACTTGTACAAAAGAGTATCGGAGCTCCAGCAGCCCAGTTTGTCCTTGTCCATCTTGAATGAGGCAGAGTGCACACTTGTGCTTCTTCCAGAAGAGATGGTTAAGTTGTGTAAACGGCTTTCCACTGCTTCTGCTATGAGAGATGGTTCAAAGATGATGTCCCTCTAAGAAGCAAAGTGGTCTGCTAAACGTGATAGTAGGTGGGCACTAGGGGTGGGAAGAGCAAAAAGATAAAATGGATAGTCATTTGCTCTCCCCAGATAACTGGCAATTGCATCAGTTTAATTCTTGCCTGTCTGGGTCATGTTCATCAAAGTTTTGTGTTCTATCTTCTAGCAATTCACGCACACTGTAACGTTCTTGTGACTTAACCTTTTTGGACCTGTGATAGTATTAGTACAGAAGACTGTCTTGGCTTTTGAAACAACTTGTGCTTGGAAAGTCTAAATATCAATTTAGTTTATCTTGAGAAAATGTTCTTTTAAGAATGTCAGTTTTGTTTAGACCTAGAGTTTCTTCTGGTTTACCTTTGGTGATAGGACACCCAGTTTAAAAAAAAGTTTGCAGAACATGATTGCTTTCTAAAACTTGCCTATAATCTGTTGTCCAAAATGAAGCATCATGTCCAAATAAAAATATTTACTGTGCACAATGTTGTCTTTTGATATGTTGGGATAAGTGCCGTTGAAGCAGAAAGAACAAAGTTGGGATTAGTTATTGTATATTCAGGACTTGGGTATTCTCCAGAGTTGCATCTTCTGCCTTCTGATCACCAGCTGAGCTAAGGGAATGTGATTCTTCTGACTCTTAAGCAGAATAACACATTCCAACCATCAAAACAGAAGTATTATGGCACCTTAAAGATTAATTAGATGTAGGTCAAAGTAATTTTTTGTGGATTACAACAGCAGCTATAAGGGGGTTTACCTTGGTGCCTATTCTGGGCCACAACTGGCTGGAGAGCCAGAGGTTGAGAGTTCAATTCCCCCCAACTTGCAGCTATAAGGGGGTTTACCTTGGGCCACAACTGGCTGGAGATTCCCCCATTGGGCCTCCTGCGAGTAGGGCCAGCTTGGGTGGCCTTGGGCAAGCTGCACAGCCCCAGGGCATCCCCAGAAGGGAATGATAAACCACTTCTGAGTATTCTCTACCTGGAAAACCCTGAAAGGGGCCACCATTTACCATTCAAAGATGTATTTTAGATATATGTAGTACAGTGGTGCCTCGCTTAACGACGATAATCCGTTCCAGGAAAATCGTCGTTAAGCAAAAACATTGTAAAATGAAATTAAAAGCCCCATTGAAACCCGTTCAATGCATTCCAAGGGGGTAAAAACTCACCGTCCAGAGAAGATCCTCCATACTGCGGCCATTTTCGCTGCCTGTATAGCGAGGAATCCGTCCCTAAGTACAGCGGGGAACCATTTTAAGCACCTGGCGGCCATTTTGAAACAGCCATTCAGTTGTTAAAAAAAACCATCGTTTTGCAAAGAATCTGTTCCCAAAGCAGGGAACCGATCGTTGCAAAGCGAAAAAACCCTATTTAGACCATTGTTTTGCGATTGCAATAGGGTTGCCATAAATTGCACTTAAGAATTGTTGCAGGATTTACCAAACATGTGAAACCCTTGGCAAAACCTTTCTACACCCAACTCTTTTTTGTTATTTTGCCGGCTTAGCACTAACACTTTGTTTTTTAAGGTAAAGTACTAATGCTGGTTTTCTATCGAAATTGGTCACAGGTGCTCATCTTGGAAGTGCATCCAACTCTATTCCTGATTCCTAAGTTTGGATTCCATCACTCCTTAATTTTTTACTGTACAGTCTTAAATGTATGACAACAAAGCATTATATAATATAATCAGTAAGTCTTACCGATTGGCAGAACCTAGGGAACAGACAGGAATTCTAAGTGGCCAATGTTCACATAACACAGTCAGGAAACTGGCTTTTAATGGATAAGCAGGATGTTAATTACAACTGCCAATTTAGTTCTGCTTGTATTAAGAGACTTCCTGGATGTTTTTTGAACACAAGTACTCTCCCTTCTCTTTCTTTTTTTTAGTAGATAAAGAAAAGGGAAGGAGCAAGGAGTATAAAACCTGGCTGCAAATAGAGATGGCCAAGCAGAATGCATGGGCATGTAGACCCTAGCCAGAAAATCAGTCTGTACAAATCCCTGTAGGGAAGTGGGGTCTTCCAAAGATCTAACCTTGTTCGGCTTTGGCGAGGAGGCAAGTTTGCAAATGTATAGTGTTTTGACCGTTTCTAAACAGTCCCCACAGCACCTCCAAACTAAAAGGAAAACTAAGTGACACTAGAAAATCATTTTTCTCTTCAAGCAATAATTTGTATGTTTGCACATAAACCACCAGGCCTTTCACATTTTCTAACACCTTTCACCCGTTGACACGCTTTTGTTCCGACATTTTCACCTTTATTGCAGAATTTCAACAAATTTTATATTTTATTTAGTGGCCTTGGTTTTCTGGAGACTACATTGCATAGCAGCCATTCATGTCCTCAGAACATATAGAGTCCAGAATTATGTGGTTATTTTGCACGTGTCATGTGCCATCAAGTTGCATCTGACTTATAGCAAGCCTAAATTGGCTTTCAAAGTATATAAGGTATTAAAGGACAGCTTTTCTATTGCCACCCCCCACCCCCTCATAAGTTTCCATGACCAAGAAGGAATTCTGACTCTGGTCTCCTGAGTCCTAATCTGTCACTCTATCCAGTCAGAATTTATATGATGGCACATAGTGAACACGCTATGCATAACTTGTCTAGTTGTAGGATTTGGACAAAAAAATTGCTAGAAAAGCATCCAAAAATAAGGACAGCACAAAATCATTAAGATTCTTAGTTGTAGGATTTCGACAAAAAATTGCTAGAAAAGCATCCAATAAGGACAGCACAAAATCATTAAGATTCAACTTAATGAATGTGACAGAAAACCATTACATTTTATACGGGTTCATGTATGTCTAGATTCTACAAAAGTTTTATTTTGACAGGCAAGTTTACGTAAAGCAAAAGCTTGGCCTGTGTTTTTAATAGTAAGAAATACTCCAGCCTTTTTTTCCAGTTGCATTAACTGCATTTAAGTAAGCTCAAAGTGGGCTTGCACTGTAAAAACACAACTGATTAAAAGTATTTTTATACATTTCACTCTAGACAATCAACAAGACAAAGACCAGAATATACTAGTTTACATCTTTAATAGAAAGTGACTAACTATAAAAAGTGTAAACACTTTAATGAGAGAATGTCTTTTGATTGGCTTATGGGGCAGCTCCATAAAATCTTTTGACCATGATGACCAAAAAGGCTGCCCTTCTATGTAGGACAGGGCCCATCTTAAGCTATTGCAAATGCCATATACAACAAAAAAGAGTTACCATTGTAACCATGGGCAAAGAGGAGGAGGAGGAGGTGCATGTATGGGATGTGATAAACAAGGCACATGGGTCAAACTGAAGAGACTCAATGGATTAGGTATAGAGTGCAGGTTGACCCGTCATTTTGCAAAACAAACATTAGTTTGCTGGCATAACTTCCAAGAACAAGCAGCAGTGGTTTGCATAGTAGACAGGTCTCTCTCTTCCTCATGTGCTATCCAAATTTCGCCTGGGGCAAACTTCCGCAGCAGCAAGAAAGCAGTCTGAAAACAAAAGCAGGACCCAATCTGCTTCTTCAGTTCAGTTCACACCTTGAGTCTTCTACAACTGCCATTCTTTAAGATTTTAAAGCCTCTAGAGCAGCTACCATGATCTCTACTAGTAACAAGGTTTGGTTTCGTCCCACAATTCCTCCATTCCTTCAGATAAGATACTAGTGCAACTGGAAGTCTGGTGTGGATAAACGGGGCGAGTAGGTGCAACTGGACCTTTTCTAGGAATATGTATGTATACAAAATATTTACATTAAGTGAATCCTGCAACCTTTCTACACTTAAGTGACTAGCCTGACTAAAAACTGTAATCTATATGAATCTGCTAAGGAAGCAGCCACATTACAGGAAAAAGGCGCTATAACTATAGTGCTGAAGTCTGCTCCATGTTGCAGTTCATACTAACAGAAGATCTGTTCTTGTACCTGCCGGGAGGTTCCTTCCAAGCAGTGTGCCCTGGAAGACAACGGCCCTCTTTCACTCTGTGCTTGACCTATGAAAATGTTCCAGTTGTTTCTCGACTCCTATTTCAATGGGAAGTACAGGCCTGAGACAAAAATAAACACAAACATGGGGGGCACCAATCTACAAATGCAACTTTGAGTAGCTATCATACCACAAAGAAACTACCTTGGCGCCAACTCCATTAGGCTGACCGAGGAAAGGCACCAATTGCAATCTGCAGAAGGAAGGGGCTTCTGGCTGACTTAGTGCATCGTGCACTGGAATCTTCCAAACCAGTCACTTGTGTCTGCCAGGTACCTTGTCCTGCTGCTCTAGGAGAACCCTGAGATCTCAACAACATCGTTTACTGGCTTTTCAATAAGAGAACAGCATGCACATCCCCTCCTCCTCCCACTGTCTTGAGCAAGACACATGTTTCACTGACTTGGAAGAACGGGGGTCCCAGTGTACTCCCCCAGGGAAATTCCTGCATTTTGATTGTCTTTCCAACAGGGGATCCAGTCTCAGAAGGAACCCACCCATCACCAAAGTCAGTCACAGAAGCGTTTGCGAGGGACAGTGCGGGCTCTGTTTGAGCGACGAATCTCCTGTTTTGCATCACGGCATCGCTGGCAGATGAAGATGTCAGGCACGTTGGATTTACGTATCTTTGCGCAAGAGAGGTGGATCCAAGTAGCACATTCACTGCACTCTATCATAGGTCTGCCAGCAAAAGGCTTTAAACAGAAACAAGTAATAAGATCCCAAGCATCGTCCTCTGCAAAAGAAAGAGAAAACACAGTATTAAAAGGACAGTCTAAGCTGCTTTACCATATGCATGCTGGAAACAGTCATGACTTCAATACAAGCCTTTGTACATGCAAGAAATTCTGAACTCTATTTGCTTGCTCATTCTCAATCTTCACTAAAAGTAAGATAGTTGAAACACACCCGCTCCTCCAGTTGGAAGCCAGCAGTAGTACCACAAACCACTATCCACTTACCATCAGTTTTTGTGTCGGAGGAGGCTGCGTTAAACTCCTCACACGTAGCTGCAAGATAAAGAAAACAGAGCACATTAATAGGTGTCCCCATCTGGACTCTGGGTCTATCACATTTGTGTTTGTGTGTGTGTGTGGCTGATTTTTTCCAGTTCCCCAGGAACCTACAATCCCAACCGTAAGATTATCTTCTCTGTTAATAATCTCCAAACAGACATATCTAATTCAAAGCCGAAGGACAATGGAAAAATATGATATTTTAGCACACAGATCAATACAGTGGTGCCCCGCATAGCGAGGTTAATCCGTTCCGGATTAACCATCGCTATGGGGAAACATCGCTATACGGAACGGAAAAACCCATTCCAATGGGGCCCAAAACTCACCGTTCTGCAATGTTTCCCCATCCGGCCGCCATTTTCGCACCCTCAGTAAGCTAGGGCAGGGCGCGAAAACGCTCTGCGCGGCCATTTTGGGCGTCCGGCAGCCATTTTGGAACTGCCAATCAGCTGTTTTAAAAAATTGCTATGCGAAAATCGGTAAGTGAAACGCTTACCGATCGTCGCAAAGCGATTTTCGGCCATAGAAAGCATCGGTATGTGATCGCATTAGCAATCCCAAAAAACGGATCGCTATGCGAATTCGTCGTTGAACGGTGCGCTCGTTATGCGAGGCACCACTGTAGCTTGGCAGCACCCAACTCACTGGCATCTCCAACAACAAAGATTTCACGTAGGGTGAAACAAAAACAAAGAGTGAAATCTTTCCCCCTTAGGAGGGGATGGTGCATGAGACTCTTGAGAAGCTGCTTCATCAGGATAAAAAGTACTGGGCTAAAAAGATCAACCTGCTGACTCTATAAAAAATATACTTATTAAACTTCTTTTCCGAAGTTTAATCTGCTGCACACTTACTACTCAATTGGGAGCCATCTCTACTGAGTTCCTCGTCATTGCATTGATCTGTGGTGTTCCAACAGGAAGGGGTGATTCTTTCCTCCTCGCATGTGTCCTGCTCTCCAAGCGTCTTGGCTGCCTGCAACCCATGGACCCAGTCACTGTCTTTTATGTATTGTTCCAGGAGAGATTTGGGCTGGACCTCTGCTCTTGGGAGACAAGATTCAAGCTCCTCTTCTTTGCCATAAGCCTCTTGTACTGACTCAGTCTTTTCCTGTCTTGTGTCCTTCACAGTCAATGATATCATGCTCTTATCCTCCTCTTGGCCCAAGATGTGCTTCTTTGTTGATGGTTTCCTCTTTTTTGTTTGCTGGGGCCGACCTGTGCAGAAACTGCTGGAAATGTCAGGACAGTCCAGAAGCAGGTCTCCAGAACCCTTGCATGTAGTGTTCCTATTTCCTCTGTCATCTGAAAGCACCTGGGAATCACAAGATGTCCAGCTGTCACTGTCTTGGGTGCTTCCTGTACTGTTCTGGGGGCTCATGTTGCCTCTATGTGGCCAGGGCTCATTCTAGAAAGGAAAAGAGAAACATCAGTCCTGAACCATTTCATGAACTTCTGATTGTAACTGAACAAGAGTCACTAATGCCTAGGACAAGTGATAGTAGATCAGACATCCAGCTTTATTACTGATAAACTGGAAACTATCTTACCTCCTTTGGGTAAGGGATGTAGCCTGCATAGGCTAGCACAAAGGTACAGAACTGATTGAAGTCTTCCACAGTTCTCTGTCTTTTCTGTGGTGGCTGCAAAAACACAAAAGACATGGGGATTCAGAATCTTAGCTTGATCCTTAGGGTGGGGTAAAATTAATGAATTAATTAATTCTATTTATATCCCGCCTATCTCGTCAATATGACCACTCTAGGCGACTTACAGAACCATAATACAATAAAATAATAAAGAGATTTAAGTAAAATAAATAAATAAACAAATATGCACACAAAAACACAACTTTCCAATGCACAATGTACCTGCAGCAAGGCAAATTGAAATGGGAAATTGCTGTTTCTTTTTAAAAAAAATATCTACAGCAACACTTTGTGGTATTTAACATGAGGCAGCTCCATTAACAAAATATAGACAACCATTAGGACTGCCGACTCAGATCCATCACTGGTAAGATAGAGAATCTTATCAATGTATGATGATCATGTCTGACAATACAGTTTACTGTAGGAATGCAAGAAACTGCTTTATACTAAATGAGTCCTCTGGGCCAGTTATTTATTATCTGGCAGCAACTTTCCAGAGTTTCAGCTTGGCTTCACAGCCCTACCAAGGTGGTGTTGGGGAGTGAATCTGGGGCTTTCTGCAAGGAAAATATGATCTACCACTAAAAAGCATTTAGCCCCAAAGGACTACTGTCTGCCTTAACAATACAAAGGTAGGGGTTGTTGAAACAAAGGTTGAATGTTAAGCCCCAGAGAAAGAATATACAGTATACCGAATTACTAAGATTTCAGTTTCCCACAGCCACAGAACTGCTTTTCTCCTCAACTGCTTTTCTGTCAGATTTCTTAATTCAAAAACCCAAGGAAAGCAAAGCAGATCTTAATACTAGATTTCAGAACAGCAGAAGGCACCTCTCCAGGGAAAGGAATTCTCCTGCTACTTGGTAATAACAACAACAATAGCAGCACTAGTAGTATGGGAAATACCATTTCCCTCTGGATCCCAAATTTAAGCAAACAAAGCAAAATGTAGTCTCATCCTGCAGACAAACAAAGGGAAGTAGCAGAAGACCAAATTCCCAGCCACAACATGCGAGGTTGGTGCAAGTTAGCCGTCCTCTCCCACATGCTTAGTATGTCACAGCAGCCACTGGAAGAAGCACTGTCAGGCCAAAGCTTAGGCTTCCCTCTGCTATGGATGTACTCAGCAAGAGGGGCTTGTGACGTCTCCCTTACCCCCAAATCATTCAAAGCTGGCAGCAACAACACCCACAGAGGGGAAACAAGTTCCACCCATCGACTTGTACAAAGACTAATACAATTTCCAGACTTGACTTAAAACACAGAAACTGAACTGAAGAAAGCTTTTCCTCTTTAGCGACACACAAGGGGCAAGTCCTTCTCTTCTTCCTATCTGAGCGCCCACAAGCAAATTCATTATTATAGGGGTGGGATTATTTTAGAGTACAAAAGCACCCTAACCCTACAAGTGATTAAATCTGAGTCGGGGTTGCCCAGGTGGGAGCTAAACCCTAGGAAGGAATATATATTTCAGCTGGACTTCAGCATCAAGTATGAAAGTACTGGTTCATCCCCCAAAAGCAACAGGGAGAACCATTCGAGGCCATTCTCGAGGTCTTCAGTCCAACACCCCATCCACACCCGCCGGCCCTGGGAGTCAAACCCTCAGGCGGACACGCACCACGAAGAACCCAGGTACAGAAAACCTCCTCCTTCAGAGCCATCATTGCCGGCACCCTGCTTGCGGGGTGGTGGTGGGGGCTTGGATGAAGGGGAGACTTAATTGCAGTCGCTAGTCAGAGGGAGGGTCTTGTGTGTGTTTTTTTAAAGGACGGATAAGCAGGCGGCAGCAACCCAAGCTCCAGATCCGAGTGGTTGGATCCTTTCCGGGGCCACGGGGAGCTCCGGGGCTCGGCGACACCCTTCTCCCGTCGCCGCCGCCCCCCTTTCCAATCCGACGAGGCCGCCACCTCTCCTGCCTCGAGTCCCCAACAACAACCCCCCCCCGCGAAAGTCTGAGGGGCATCTGACACCGAGGGATCCAAAGGGTCCCCGTCCCCCTTCTCTGGCCCCGCAGGGTGTGGCCTCCCCATCACCATA